CTTATATGTGGCTCTCATTTTTCTTAGAAACAAAATTTAGGTGAAAAAAAATCTGGTAATTCTTTGTTTTTACATTCATCAGGTCCCAATCAGCCCAAATATCAAAGAGAAATTAAAAATGCATGCAGTGGAAGAGTTCGAATCTTAGGAGGTTAAATATAAGTTATGGTTTAAAATTTGTACCCCCAACTGCTCACAGCAGATGGCTGCCCCTGCCTGAGCCTGGTTCTGCTTGAGGTTTCTTCCTGTTAAATAGAAGTTTTTCCTTCCAAATGTCACCAAAGTGCTTGTTCATAGAGGGCTGTCTGATTGTTGAGGTTTTCTCTGTACATTATTGTATCCTCCAATAGGATGTAAAGCTCTTTTAGTTGTCTGTTTTTGGCACTTCATGAATAAAATTGAATTGAACGCTGAAAGGTCATATTTACATGTACAGAAAACTGAAGGGGAAGAAATTAAATAAAGATGCTTCATTTGTTTCAGTAAATATTAACTTTACTTATTTATTAATTGATTATTTGACTGCAGCTGTAAGAATATTACTTATAGCAAAAATTTGTAATAAGCCCTTTGACAGATTAAATAGAGTTAGTCATTGATTCTTGTTAAGGCCTGTGATCTGCTCTCATACAAAATAAATGTATACATGTCCATTCCTTCATTGATCGTTGTTCTTCAGTCTGTGGAAAACATCATACATACATCATAGTTTGACTAGAATAAACTAGTTTTCTTGATATAACATTGTGACAACGGTAAAATGATGCCGGGGTTTCAGTTCAACTCATACAGAACAATTCATACAACACTAGAAACTTTACACTAATCAAAATTTCTAAATTGTATTTACTTAGTATTCAATTGATAAGAAAATGTTACATACTGAACAGCAGTACTGTTGATGTTGGATCAGTGCAAGCTATCTACTATCGCCTTCCCTGACCAGGGGCATTTCAAGAGGAACAGTGCCATCTGGTGGCTTAAATAAAAACATCTCTCAAATATGGTATCCCAGCATTTGTTTGCACATTTTAACAAATTGCTGCATGTATTTCCGATTTCTATTTCCAACACACAAATACACATTTCTGGATGCATCTGTAAATACCATCATTTTTTCTATTGTAAAATTTAATAATGATGTAATAATAATAATAATAATAATAATAATGTATACTTTATTGATCCCCGTGGGGAAATTCGTCTCTGCATTTAACCCGTTCACTCAGTGAAGCAGCAATTTCTTTATCCTGTGTCAAAGTACGACACTGCTATATGAGCCTGTTACTCAGAAAAACAAGATTAATATAATGATGCTCTCAAGTTTTTATGAATTCTCCTCTGACACTGATCTCTGACAGGACGGACTGCAGGCAGCTGTTGACTGGGTCACAAACACTGAAGAGAGAGGAGACATGAAAGCTGTGGTTGGACTGCTGGTGATGTTGGTAAGTTTCTTATGGTGAGCTGTTGACTTTTTTCATCTTTATTCACACGTTTTGCAGAAATCAGATCAAGTGCAGTCAATAAAAGTTTTACATTATTAGAGCAATATGTAAAGCATCCCGAATACAATAGTACTCAAAAAAAAGAAAAAGTATTTTTCACTATTCTTTTCCATATATTAAAAAATCAAATATTCTGGAATCATTTAGACTATTTCTGTTTCTGCGTCACAAAACCAAAATCCTAGCTGCACACTTTTTTGTTGTTTGTTTTTACTTGTGTCATGTAACTTTTTTTAATTTATTAATTCTAAGATACTTTGGAGCAGTTGTCACATGTGATAATGATCACTTCCTGTCTAGTCTAAATTTACACGTTCTTTTCTGAAGCTCAACACTAACAGGAAACATGCTTAAAGTAGGTTGTACGAGTCTGAATCTGGCTGCTGAGCTGACACAGACATAGGATGCTATGTTTGGGCTGTCTGTTTCTGACTCATGCACATGCTGTGGTATCAAGTTTCTGAATACATTTTGAAATGATCCTTTGTGGCTCAAGAGTTGGGAGTTCGCCTTGTAATTGGAAGGTTGCCAGTTTGAGCCCCGGCTTGGACAGTCTCAGTCGTTGTGTCCTTGGGCAAGACACTTCACCCGTTGCCTACTGGTGGTGGTCAGAGGGCCCGGTGGCGCCAGTGTTCGGCAGCCTCGCCTCTGTCAGTGCGCCCCAGGGTGGCTGTGGCTACAATGTAGCTTGCCATCACCAGTGTGTGAATGTGTGCGTGAATGGGTGGATGACTGGATATGTAAAGCGCTTTGGGGTCCTTAGGGACTAGTAAAGCGCTATATAAATACAGGCCATTTACCATTTACACAATAAAGCTAATAAACAGAACTTTACGGCTGTAACTTGTCACAGTACTGGGTGTGGAGACCCAGTATTTGTGTTTTTGATTTAAGTTATATTCTTTGAATGATTGTTTTCTGTCTGTATTATATTTATAGTTCCTGGTTTCTAGGTTTTCTGTTCTGTTCCTGTGCCTCCCCTGCGTTCTTGGTATCATGTTTCTAGTAAAGGTTTAGTTCTGTATTTTTGTTTTTCCTATTTTTCTCCGTGTGTTGTATGCTTGAAAAATACGAGTGCTCTTTGTGAGCTTGTTCCCAGTTTGTAAGCAGCACTCTCTGTCATTAAGGGAGAGCATTGCTTAAAGGTCATAATGTGACTGATGCAAGACAGATCCTTTATTTAGCAAAATTGGTGTTAATAGTCAATGTTATTACTACAAACACACACACGCACACACGCACACACACACACACACACACACACACACATTAAAAAGAGAAACAAAAAAATGTCTGAAGAAAAGGGCACTTGGGGCACTGACGAGTAAAGGGGCAGGTGCCACTGAAAAAACTGTTCTCCAAAACTGTATCATGGATATTTCTGACTTTATAAAAATCTAAATTACGGCGACTACACACTTCAAACGTATGCGTCCATTCTTGTCCACAGTCTTGTTACCTCCTGTATTGACTACTGCAATTCTCTTCTGCATGGTCTCCCCCAAAAATCCCTCCATAAGCTTCAACTGGTTCAGAACTCTGCTGCTCGCATTATCACCAGAACCCCCTCCTACCAGCACATCACCCCTGTTCTTCAGGAACTTCACTGGCTCCCTGTGAAATTCCAGATAATATTCAAACTTCTTCTGCTCACCTTCAAGAGCTTTCAGTTGCTCTGATCCCAGGCTGTGGAACTCTCTACCCCCAGATATAAGAAACATTGGTTCTCTCCCCCAGTTTAAAACTCAACTCAAAATCCATCTATTCAAATCTGCATATTCACTGTGAACCTATGTTTGTTATTTTATCTTGCGCTTTTGTTTTTTATTGTTCTTCATTGTCATTGTTCTATTATGTGTTTTATTCTATTGTCAAGTGTCCTTGGGTGTCTTGAAATGTGCTTTCAAATAAAATCTATTATTATTATTATCATCATATGCAGAAGAAATGTGGCCGTGGTTATAAATTTTTACCGTGCAACGATTAGCTCTCTGTTTGACTACTTATAAGGATTGTTTCCTTTTTTCAGCTCAGAAATGTCCAGTCGTGGGATGTTGAAAGCGGAAGAAAAATAAGACCTCCTTAGTTACACCTCAGAGGAAAAAAAAAGATGACTATAACAATGTTCTTATAGGTCAAAGCTTTCAACAGGATACATTGCAGGCTGTTTCTATCTGGGTCACACACACTGAACAGAGACGAGACATGAAAGCTGCGGTGGGACTGCTGGTGCTGCTGGTCTCTCTTT